TGTTTTATTCTTTTCAAGAACTACTTTAAACAAAGCCAAACGTGTCAACAAAAGCTTTCTCATTGCCCTTTACTGCAAACAAAATCAGATTTTTTTCTTCACTATCAAATTTTTTCAGCTTGTTCTACCTGTTCCAGCCATATTCTGTCGCGTAGGATCCGACGTTCAATATTTTCTGGAATTCTTTCAAAAGCTTCGTCATATGGTGCAAAAAATGTCACCAGCCCACCAGTAGCGGAAAAATAAGTACGTACCGTTTGACCAATGGTATCAATATATCGCATTAGTGTCGTGCACTTGGGATTCTGCCTTGTTAACTACAAAAAAACGTTTATACAGCATTTCTAAGATAAAATTTCTGGTCATTTTCCTTGCAGCAGCTGTGAGTAGTCAAATTTGTTGAACAGACAAATGCGTTAAAGGCAACAAAGTACAGTGGTTTTCTGGAAGATAAAATGCATTTAGATGAAACAGTATTTAATCAGAAACTTTTTATTCCTTCAACACTGTTACGCCTGATACAAATTTATTAAAAAGTTAGACAGAGCTTAAGATGAAATGAAGGAAAATAAAAAGTTGCCACTTTACTTGATCGATTGTATTTGTAACGATTCCGAGCACATTATCAATAATATGTACAACACCGTTTTGCACTGGTATATTTGGAACTAAAATCTTTGCCCAAACCGCACCACGTCGAAATTGACTGTAACGTTCATAAATTTCTGAGACTGCAAACACTGAAATACTGAAGTTTATAGAAGTTGGCTATTCTTCTGAAAAATTCCTCCTTGTGCTTTCTTTTACAATGACAATTTTCAACAGTTCATCAGCAGTTGTTATTGGTTTCAGCAAAATTGTGCAGTATTTATCCATTTTGTTAACTGCGTATAAACACTTCAATTTTTTTTTTTGACGTTACAGATTTAGTCTTTTTTTACTGCGTTCTTCAACATTACACAACCTTGAAGTACGGATAATGCACCAAATGAACAAAAAAAACCCCTCAAAGCTTTATTCTAATTAACAACTTGTAGACTTTTAAGACTGTTTAAAAAAACTGAAGTATTTTGTCTGCTAAACTGCACATTAATTACCTGTCATCTGAAAGGAATTTTTGTTGGAAAATTTGAAGAAACTTACAGTCCCAACGTCCTGTTCGTCGATCTGTAATATTCCTAATTGTAAGTCTCAATTTGTAATTGTCTTCAATAAGGTTACCCGAAAAACGCAAAGATGGATAATAATGCCGTCCACCGTCGTAAAGCCACGGATACGTAAAAAGAACTCGATTTACTCCGGTAACGTGAGCCAAAAGTACTTCACGATCAATTCGATTTCGGTCGACAACCTACTATTAAGACAAAAACACTTATCAAAAATGAAGGACGTGGAGGAAATAAATTTGGGGAGAATAATTTTTTGATTATGCAATAGCCGTATGGGAAACAATGTGTTTCAAATATCAAAAGCTGTAATTATGCTCTGGTTTAGAGCTGCCTTCGTATAGCAAAAAATAAATTTTCAAAAAAATTCTTTTAAATTGCTCAAATTTATCTGCTGTTTCCCTTAATAGTCGAAGATACAAATATTTGTTCAATATAACCGTTTGTAAAATTACTCTTATAAAACTCCCAAAAATGTAATTGATTAGATTCTGGTAAAAAATAATAAGAATAAGGAAAAAACTTTGATGCTTATTATAACCGTTTATTTTTATGCTGAGTAAATTTATTTACTTTTGCAAAAGCTTTATTGTTGGGAAGAAAATATGTGTGAAATCCATCCCAAGCTGAACTGCCGAAGATTACCAGTGCTATATCTGGTGCGCGATTAAGAATGTCGCGTAGTTCACTGAAAACACTTACAAAAATTAGGCCTAATTATCATGCTGTTATGCCTTTTGCAGCTTAATTCGTTTTTGCAGTTGTCTTGTCAGAGCGCAACATAAGTGTCTCAAGTTGTTACGATTGATCAAGACTAGTCCAAAAAATTCACGGACTGATTGATTGATCAGGAGAGCTTATGCAGCTTACGTTAATTCTTTGTTGTCGTACTGTCGATCGGTGAAGGTCTCCATAGCGGTGTCGCGTACCAAGGATAGTGCTGTACCCGGGTATGGCCGATGACCAATCGGCGTACAAACTTTATACAAATACTGCTCACCGCTAATCATGCCCCACTGATTAGATGCATGATTGCAAATCATGCCATTGTTTGCAAAATACGACTAAAATTTGCAGATTTTACTCAAATGATTTATCTCATTGTCATCTTATTCAAAAGCCGAGCAAAAATTGTAGCTTTAGATGCTATGCTAAATTCCACTAACCCCATCTACTACAACAAGGAGATGCGACGAATTAGCGATAGTAAAGGTAAACTCAAACTCACGTAGTTGCCAGGATTATTCTCGAACTGTGTTATATAAATATAGCCGCTATTAATTGTGCTTCTAATTAACGTTTGTTTTTCCCATTTTTTGGCACTACTAATTTCAATAATTTGAGAATCAACTAAAATTACTGTGTTTGCAAATCAAGAACTAACATTGGGAAACAGTTGAAATAATGTATAAAACCTGTTTGAGAAATTTTACAGTTATTACGTTAGGGCTGAAAATAAAAGTGAAAAAAGTCGTTTAAGAGTACTTACCTATGTGACTAAGAACTTCTTTTTGAGACAAAGCTCTGAGATCTGGGTTGTAAGTGAAAACATCGTTAACTGGAGCAAACACAGTTATTCTAGCATTCGAATCCTTCATATATGCTTCAGCAACCTGATACCGGCCACAAAGAGCAATCCACTAAACGAGTGCAGTGAGATAAAAGTAGTTGATTTCTTAGACTTTTGTAATTAGTTTTTAATTTGCTGAGAAGCAGTAAAACATAAATTTACAACAATAAACGTTTTATTTCCTCCTACTTGTTGACTCATACAAGTAGTTTACACCCTCTGATAGGGGTAAAGTTATGAAAAACTAACTTGTTGAAGATCGCTCATACGTTCGCTTTCTGTCCATAAATCGCCGATGACTGTACCAACAAACAGGAGGAATTTTATCAGTAATGCATAAATAGTATACTTCATAGCTAAACATTTGAATAGGCTATTTGACAGAACAAACCAGTACCTTCTTCTCAACCGGAATCATAAAGTCCCTTAAATAAAGTACAAGAAATGAAAGTTGCTTTTTCTAAAGATCCAAAAAAAGTTCCTAAGCAAGCGAGCAGCAAATGCTGAAAGCAATTTTACACAAGTGGTCCATGAAACTTCTAGAAAAACCAAATAATTTCGCTTGAATGCCATTGAGCAGTAGGATCTAAATTTTCAATAAAAGATTCCATTTGAATCACAATGTTATAGAAATTTTTTCGTACGACTGTCAACAAAGACATATTTATCAAAGCTTTTTGGAACTAAGATAAGTGCTAGTCGTTCCTAATTGAATAAGTCAAATAAAGAATTGAAACTACACTTAAGCATCGAAAAACGAATGTTTAGAAAATATTTACGGTTAATATTTTGAAAGATGACAGTGGTCCCTATAAATGGGTAACCAAACATTTTTCTTTTGCGTATCAATTGTATGATTATAATGATAAAAACATAAAAGTCAAAAATAACATAATTCAAATTATCATCATCCGTAAGCAACTCTTTTTAACTGAAATAAAAAGCTATTTCCTTTTTTGAAGAAGTAGAGAGTGCATAGTGGTCACGATCTGTATTTTACCACTAAAGAAAAGTAATGTTAGTTTACAAGCATAACAGATGTCTTTGTCCTCCTATTTTTGTAATAACGCTTACGTTCCGTTGTTCCTAAAGACGTCTGATTCTCTGGTTCCTCCTACAAACAAATTTTACCCAAAAAACTGAAAATTCCAATTTTTGACTACTATAAAATAACTTTACCATATAAAACCGTGATTTAGAAGTTAAAAGCAGTAAATTGGTCAAGGTAAATTGAACGTTTTGGCTGGCAATCGATACTGTTCATTCCAATAATCAAAATAAAAAGAGAAATGAAACAAGAAAAAACAGTACGAAATTTGCTGATAAAGTGTAGCATTATGAAGAGGTAAAGAAACGAGATATTAGCGAAATATTTATGCAAACAAAATTCTAAGTGGCGTTTTATAAGAGGGCCTCATTACGTATACGTCAAAATGCAATCGTTCTATGCCCAACTTTTTTCGTTTCCCAAGCAAAAGCTTTATAAACTACTATCAGTGCCATCACCGTCATCAAACTGTTCTTTTTTTTCAGCCATCACTGATTGAACTCGCAGTCTGTAACCAATGGCTTCAATTCCCTGCTAATTTTAGTCTTGGCAAAATAAAAACTGAAAAAAATATCAAAATAGAGAAAAGAAAATTTGTACATAATGGGTTAAAATTACAGTATTAGAACAGTTTCAAATGTTTCAGCAAAGTCAACAAATGCGAAACAAAAAAAGTTATTATGCTATTTATTTCTCATATTTCATGTAACGTCAAAAAAGTGCAGTCTGCTGGTGAAAAAAAAAAAAACATATATTTCGGTAAAATAACTGTTAGCACTAAAAAATGACCCTGACGGTAAAAATAAATGAAGGTCGTTAAACAGTTTTTTTGCACCAGTAAACGTCTACATCTGCCGAACTGATAAGCCTCTTATCAGAGTATTTCACATACTAATACATTCTTAAACAGTTACCAATAAAACACACTTTGATATTAATCTTAGCAAAAAAGATGCATTGCTTAATTTAACTTAGCAAAGAATTTAAAAAAATGAAAATAAAAGTAGACAAAAATTAAAAACACAGATACATCACTTTCAAAGCAACAATAAGAATAGATTCTCTTAAAAAGCCATTTCAATTCGCTGCTAAAAAATATCATACGCTCAAATAGAAGTGCCAAAGTTTCTATTTTTTTCATAGCCACCCTGACTCCTACACAAAATGACGAGAAGAAAATTGTC